TTTTTTTTTTTTTTTTTTTTTTTTTTCGAGACAGAGTTTCTCTTTGTAGTTCTGGCTGTCCTGGAACTCACTCTGTAGACCAGGCTGGCCACGAACTCAGAAATCCGCCTGTCTCTGCCTCCCAAGTGCTGGGATTAAAGGCGTGTGCCACCACCGCCCGGCTTTTTCTTTTTTTTTTTTTTTTAAATTATTATTTATTTATTTATTTATGAGTACACTGTAGCTGTCTTCAGACACACCAGAAGAGGGCATCCAATCTCATTATGGATGGTTGTGAGCCACCATGTGGTTGCTGGGATTTGAACTCAGGACCTCTGGAAGAGCAGTCAGTGCTCTTAACCGCTGAGCCATCTCTCCAGTCCCTTCATTTAGTTTTGATGGAGAAAAATAACAATGTTTTTATGTTTCTGTCCTTAAACTTGTAAACTTTTGTGTTCTGGTGTTCCTCAGCACCTCATTCCAGAGATTCCTGAAGGGTCAGAATACTCCAGCCCCACCATGTCGACTAGCTCTATAAGTCGGCTTGCTTTTTCTCCAGCCCTCCAAGCCTTACTTCACTGTATTCCTTTCTCAGGTAGCCACAGGCAGGCACGGTAATTCTAATCTATTCTGCTTCCCTTCAGTGTTACTCCCTCCCAGAAATACAACTCCAGAACCAACCGGGGAGAAGTGGTCACCACCTTTGGCTCAGCTCAGGGCGTGTCTTGGTCCGGGAGAGGAGGCTCTGGAAGCATCAGTCTGAAGGTCATGGGGTGTCCAGAGCCACTCACTGGAAGCTACAAAACTATGTTCCAGCAGCTCCCAGATATTCGAGAAGGTAACTGGTTCTCTCTTGCAGTCTCGTGGGCTTACAGCCCTGTGGAAGAACTGAGAGAAGTGAAGTCACAAAGCCTGCTCAGCTGGTGGCCTTTGGTCGAGAAGTTAGTAGATGACCTCATGGTGCTCTGTCAGTGAAGGGGAAGGACACTGGGCGAGGCTGTAATTTCCCAAGTTGTGTCAGCCACCCTAGCAATGGAACACGAGCCGTGAGGGAGCTCAGTGCGTAAGTTATGAACATGTAGATGCTCCAGGTTATCCTTGAGTTCCGTGCAATCTGGGGAGGAGAAGTTCCCAGTGATGCTCTGGGATCGTGCCATGTGCTCTCCCGAGGCCCAGTGGAAAACCAGATTAGTAATTGTGTCAGAAAATAGACTAAGGCCTGAGGTTCAAACAGATGTCCATGCTTCTCGATCCTATAGAACGATTGTGATGTTTGGCAGTGGGCTGTCTTTTCTTGCCAAGTGAAATGTCCTCTGACAGTGCCGTTACCTTGGGTTGCAGTTCTGACGTGTAAGATAGAAGAGCTTGGCAGCGAGCTGAAGGAGCATCACAAGATCGAGGCCTTCACTCCTCTCCACGTCCCAGCACAAGTAAGAGTCATGGGAAGCGTTCTCGGTGATTAGTACTACCCTTGATTCCTGATGTGGAGCAGGCCAGCCTTGAACTGAGAAACCAGCCAGTCTCTGCCTCCCGAGTGCTGGGATTAAAGGTGTATGCCATTATGCCCAGCGAAATTATTGCTGCTCTCTGAAGTCAGCGAAGAAGACTTTCCCCCTCACCAGTGCTGTGCTTCAATGTTAGTCTTGGTCGGCTCCCTGAAAAGCGCTCCCTGGCTGGCTCACCAGACTTTTTCTCCTCTCTCTTGGACTTGGTCTTACATATAAGCAAAGGTTGAAACTTTGTTTTCTCAGTGGTGGGGCAGATTGCCTTTGGAGAGCTCCCACAGGTAGAAGTGTCCAGGTCTGCAAGGTGAGAGCGACAGGTCAGGAATTCTCCTCTCACTGCCCGGGTGATGATTGCCCCGGGTTGAGAACTGTCACAGATCAGTGGCTGCCTCTGGCATCTAGAGTTACACCATGCTTCAGTTCTGGTGTGGGTACTTTCTCTGGAGCATTGCTAGTCTACCAGATGTGTCCTGTATAATCCTTGAATGTGCCTTTGTCCTATGTGTGTTTCCAGGGAGGAGGGACCATAAATAAACTTTGTCCTGTCGGAAGTTCTGGAGAAATTGAGAGGAAGCGTGGGGGAAGGGCCTCACATGAGGGAAAGATTAGACTTAACTCAGTTTGCTCCCAAGAGTGGAAGCCCTACACAGGAAGCCACTAGGAGAGATTTCAGTTCCGTCTATGAATAACTTCCTCTGGAAGTGGCAGTATGACATCCTGTGTGATATCGGGGTACTTGGGAACCTGAGGCAGGAGCACCGAAAGTTAACGGCCTGCTTGGGTTATATAAGAAGACTGGGGAGAGGCAAGAGCACGAGAGGACCAAGAGGTGCTGTGCATTAGGCTTTGGGTCCAGGCTTCCCCTATTGTTTGACCATAATGACGGTATCATGTTGATGCTGGGCATTTATCTTCCTTACAGTGGTTGTGAAGGTCAAATGAGTTAGTGCCTGTCCGCTGAGAACAGTGTGTGGCAGCTCTGTGGATGATCTATTAATAGCTGTGGTTTTCCAGTAGTGGTGTGGGCTATAGGCCGGGGGTGTTCCCCTGCTTGGCAATGCTCACACTCAGGGAGCCTCTCATCACACCTGGTAGGCAGGTGGTAGCCTCGGCACCCTGGAAGAATCACGCTCTTGAAGGGTCCTTCCACTTTCAGTGGCGATGCTGTGATCACCTCCCAAAAAATGTGCCGTGTGGGGTTTCACTGTGCCTGTTGTTATGTTGTGTGTGTTCTTCCTTTGGTAGGAGCCTGTCACCCTGCTGGGTCAGATTGGCTGTGATAGCAACGGGAAGCTAAACTGCAAGTCAGTGATTCTCGAGGGAGACCGAGAGCACTCCTCCGGCACTCACATTCCGGTGGACCTATCCGAACTCAGAGAGTATTCTCTCTTTCCTGGACAGGTGAGACTGGAACCTTCTGGGATGCAGATCTGAGCAGCAAGCGGTGGGCAGCCGCTTCTTGTTTTCCATCTCTGTTGCCCCGAGATTGGGTTCTATAGGTCCACTATTTTAGGGATGTTTTTTCTCTCCTTAGCTCTGGCTCCAGCTTGTTCCACCTCATGAGATGTGTGGCTATGGGCAAGGTACTTGACCTTCAAACCCAAGATGTTTTCATCCATAAAATAAAATAAAAACTTTACCTCACGGGATTGTTGTGGGGATTAGGTCATTTGTGTAGAGCATAACTGTAACTGATGTGTTCCAGTGAAAGGTGCCCTTCATCTGTTTTCTGGAAAGTGCCCCAGGTTTATAATTACCAAAAGCAATTATCTTAGACCTCTCACTTATCTCTTCTACTTAGCTATCTTGTGTTTCTTGTCTGTCAGGTTGTAATTATGGAAGGATTCAACACCACTGGTAGGAGACTTACTGCCACCAAACTCTATGAGGTACAAGGTGGGCCCCTCCCCCTCTCCACATTTGCTTCAGGCTCAGTATGCTCAGTTCTGATGAAAGAAACTCGTCCTTTTCAGTCTCTGTACGCTTGTTAGTCTTTTCTGTTTCTAAGACTTGAACCTACCTCCAAGCTATAAGTTAATAAACTCTTTCCTCCAGAGAGCCAAGGAGCAGGTGTTTTAGGCTGTAAGGCCTCACGTTGAGTCTCTTTCATTATACGACAATACAGCCACAGGCCATGTGCAAACACATGACTGCGGGGGAATCCCATTCAAACTTCATTTACAAAAATGGCTACAGCCAAATTTGGCCTCATCTCCACTGCAGTCCTCCAGAGAGTTCCATAGGATGCCAGGAGACGTAGCCGGACTCCCTTCTCCCCCACCCTTGCCTACCATGCCAGTGGTTTAGGCACCTGCTTTGCATGAGGTGGCCAGGTGTTTTTTGAGAATATATCAGGGACTTCCTGTTGCCTGGTCTGTGTAGAAACAGTGAGCTGTTTAGAAAAATGGCAGATTCTGTGGGCTCTGGGTTGTAACTCCTAAGAGCAAGGCAGAGACACATGCTCTGGTCCTCCCAGTCCTCCCACTGCAAACCTCCAGACACTCAGAGCCACCCCTTACCAAAGCAATGGCAGGAATGAGACCTCAGCTGAGCTCTCCTGTTTCAGGGCGTGCCGCTTCCGTTCTATCAGCCTACTGAAGAGGAGGGAGGTAAGTTCTGGTTCAAAATGTCTCTTGCCAACAATGGGGATGATAGACAAAGCCCCAGACTATAGCTGCCCAGGCTCAGGAAGCAACACAAGCTGTGGGAGTGGCCTCCGAGCAGTAAGGACACGGCTGGTCAGTGGGCTCACGGGACCCTTGAGCACAGGTAGTGGCATTGTCTGGGCTCTGGTGACACAGTGTGAACACTGTGATCCGGGCTGCTGCCTAACAGCTGTGTGAAGGGAAAGGATACACATGTAATAACACAAAGTCGGTGTTTCAGACGGGAGCCTGGAGGAGAAACGAACACCAGTAGGAAAACCTAGCTTAGTTGGCAGTGACACACTGGAGGTAATTCCACAAATGTGCTCTAGAGGAAAATGTTAGTATCAGAGAGCTCTGGGAAAAGACACACGGAAGTCTGTGCTCTCTTTACAAGTTTGTGGAAAAATTTCTGGCCAGGCATGGTGGCACATGCCTTTAATCCTATCACCCAAGAGGCAGAAACCGGTGGATCTCTGCATTCAGATCCATCCTGGTCTACATAGGGAGTTCCAGGCCAGCTATGGCTATATAGTAAGACTCTGGCCAAGGCAGTGGTGACGCATGACTTTAATCCCAGCACTCTGGACGCAGAAGCAGGCAGATCTCTGAGTTTGAAGACTGCCTGTTCTACAGAGTGAGTTCCACGATAGCCAAGACTACACATAAACCCTGTCTCAAAAAAACCCAAAAAAGACTCTGTCTTTTTGTTTGTTTGTTTTTTGTTTTTGTTTTTTTTGAGACAGGGTTTCTCTGTATAGCCCTGGCTGTCCTGGAACTCACTTTGTAGACCAGGCTGGCCTCGAACTCAGAAATCTGCCTTCCTCTGCCTCCCAAGTGCTGGGATTAAAGTCGTGCGCCATCACCGCCCGGCTTCTTTTTTTTAGAGGAACAAGTAATCTAGATAGAAAACACAAGACAATAAAATAAAAATAATAATAATAAATTTTCTTTTACATTAACAAACGTTTCAAAATATCTGTGAACTGGACTCTCCCTCAGTAGATGGCACTTATGTAACATCTGTGAGGCTCTTAGTTAGGCCCCCGCTACCACAAGAGAAGGGGGCAGGGGGAGGGATTTATAAACATTTTTGTAAGAAAAATAGAGCAAACATCAGTAAAGATTTTCAATAAATGCCAACACTGGCATGCTGCCAATGCCCCATACACATTGATGTGTGTGCAGGTATCCTTGGAGATGACCTGGAATCAGGAATGAGAATCAGTTGTTTGTGACATTGTACACAGTCTCACAGAATATCTGTGTGGGGGAGAAAGGCAGACTCTTCAGTCTCAGTTCCTGGTGGTACTCCTGTGGTAGACTGAGTAACACTTCACGTTCTCTCACACCTGAAAGTATGCCACTTTATATGGTCAGAAGGACTTTGCTCATGTGGCTGAGTGCTGAGGTAGTGTGCACCTTTAGTCTTAGCACTTAGGAGGCAGAGGCAGGCAGATCTTTGTACATTCAAGTCAAACCTGGTCTATATATGCTATATAGCCTGGTCTATATAACCAGACACTGTCTCAAAAAGTAAAATAAAATAAATCGGAGAGATGGCTCAGTGGTTAAGAGCACTAGCTATTCTTCCAGAGGACCCAGGTTCAATTGCCAGCAACCACATAGCATCTCCCAACCATGTAACTCCTATTCCAGGGATCCAACATCCTCATACAGACATAGAAGCAGCCAAAGCATAAAATAAAATAGATTAATTAAAATAAAAATAAGCCAGGCAGTGGTGGGGCACACCTTTAATCCCAGCACTTGGGAGGCAGAGGCAGGCGGATTTCTGAGTTCGAGTCCAGCCTGGTCTACAGAGAGTTCCAGGACAGCCAGAACTACACAGAGAAACCCTGTCTCGAAAAAAACAATAAATAAATAAAATAAAAATAAATTATATTCAAAATTAATCAATAAATCAACTTTGGGGCGGGATTATTGAGTGCAATCGCATAGGTCCTTATGAAGATCGATGGCAGAGAGATCAAAGTTAGGGAACAGAGACTTCAGGCTGCTGGCTTTAAAGGTGTAGCACAAGTGACCTCTAGACATATGCAGCCCGCTGATAGCTTTACTCTAGACTTACAGTGGCCAGAACTGTAAGATAGTAAATTACTTTAAAGCCACCAAGTTTGGAGTAATTCATTTACTTATTGTTTTTAAGGTTTATTTGTTTTTTTTTGTTGTTGTTGTTTTGTTTTTTGGTTTTTCGAGACAGGGTTTCTCTGTATAGCCCTGGCTGTCCTGGAACTCACTCTGTAGACCAGGCTGGCCTATAATGTTAGGCCACACAAGCCTCACAGATGTTACATAAGCGCCTTCTACTGAGGGAGACTCAGAAATCCGCCTGCCTCTGCCTCCCAAGTGCTGGGATTAAAGGCATGTGCCACCACCGCCCGGCTTGATTTTTTTTTGTTGTTGTTGGTTTGTTTATATGTGTGCTGTGTGTAGCTATGTGCACTTCTGAGTGCAGGTACCTGTGGTAGACAGAAGATAGTGTTGTGTCCCCGGGGCAGCAGTCATAGGCAGATGTGAGCTGCCTATGTGGGTACTGGGAACCAAACTTGGGTCCCCAGGAACAGCTGTAGTAAAGTAATACTACATATTAGAAAACTTGGGAATTTGGGAGGTATATTATACTGTCCACAGGAAGTAGATCAGACTTTAACTTTAAAAACTTAACTAAGAACTGGACAGGGCTTAGAAACCTGAGTTTGGGGTGGGGACACAGGTCTGGCAGCTGTAAAGTCCTGGTAGCAGGAATTCCCAGCAGGGGTTCAGTGTCTGGCCCTCCTACAGCGCCTCCCTTTCTGGGCCTCAGTTCCCTACATTGTCCCACACACTGAACCCCCAGATGATCTCTAGCTTCTCCACAGTGTGAACACGTGTCCCCTTGATTCTTTCCTGACTACCAATCTGCCCACATCGCCCAGGTGCACTGCAGGGAACATGCCACCGAGGCTCAGGGTCCTCCCTGCCTGTGCTGGTTCAGTGTTCTTGGGAGAGGAGTTTGGTCCTCACTTTGAATTCCCCAGACTTGTACTCATCAGACTTAATGAAGGAAATCCTGTGGCATTTTCTCTCAGTGGCCCTGCTCCCTCCACCCAATGCCTGTTCTCTTTCTCCTCATGACCTTGCAATGCCTTCTGTCTCAGATTTTGAGCAGACTATGGTGTTAGTTGCCTGTGGACCTTATACCACCTCTGACAGCATCACATACGAGCCCCTGCTTGATCTGATCGCTGTCATCAACTGTGATCGGCCAGATGTCTGCATCCTGGTAGGTCCCCTGTGCTCAGGGAGGCAGTGAGGGCGGGAATGAGATGGGCCTTAGAAAAGGGCTTTGATACTTTTAAAGTTTTTAAGAAACATCTATCCTTTTACAAAGAGTTTCTTTTGTTAATTCTTTCTTCTTTGTTTTCTTTCTGTTTTTTTTTAGACAGCATCTCACTACCTAGACCAGGCTGGCTTTAAACTCACAGAGATTTGCCTGCCTCTACCTCCCAAGTGCTGGGATTTTTAAAATCTGCACCTGTGGAGGTGCAGCTCCATAGCTGTCACTAAGTCCAGAGGCCCAGCTTTACTGTCATCCTCTGGTTTTAAAAGATTTGCTCTGTCTTGGTACCCTAATCTTAAAATAATCTCTTTTTATGCTACTGGGAACATAGTGGTCTGTTGTTCTTGCTGGGTGTAGAAAACAGGAAAGAGCCCAGTGTCATTTGGGGCAACCACAGGGGATATAAGGCCCTGGGAAGCCCTCTGAGAGGAACAGGACTCAGATGCTCCTTGGCCCATCTGCTAACTCCCCAGGTTCTCCAGGGGACAGGTGGAGCCAGGCAGGGAGCCGCTCTTAGACACTTTGTCTGAAAACCTTTGAAATGCTGACGATTCTGATTTATGTTTGGGTGCTTTCTCCCCACTTCTGCAGTTGGGACCTTTTCTGGACGCTAAACACGAACAGGTGGAGGTGAGTGCCTGCGGGTGGGCTGGGCGCTTGCACTCAGCCTAGGCTCTCTCAGTTTCCTCTTTGGGAGTGTATCTGTAACTACAGCAGGCTTACATCAACCCTGTAGCTAAGGAGGAGAACATCACCAGCCATGTTTAATAAATGTCCTGAATTTGAAAGCTTCATTTCACCAGACTGTCTGGAACCTAGGAAAGGATTTAAAAATGGGTAGTTCCTTTATCTATCCCACTTAACTGCTCAGGCACAAAAGCATTAACAAATGCAGATGAGTCTGGACTTTGAAAGTCCCCTATGGGGGGCTGGAGATTTTGCTTGGTGGTTAAGAGCACTGGCTGCTCTTCCAGAGGTCCTGAGTTCAATTCCCAGCAACCACATGGTAGCTCACAACCATCTGTAATGGAATCCAATGCCCTCTTCTGGTGTGTCTGAAGACAGCAACAGTGTACTTACATACATAAAATAAATAAATTTAAAAGAAGAAAAGGAAGTCCCCTATGAGACTGGCACACTACCTACTGTGCTAAAGAAGCAGAGACTGTTCTGTGATTACTGCTCTAAGCTGGTAGGTCATGTGTAAAGGTCCTCTGATACATAAATCACAAATGGTCCTTCCTGGGATCTTGGTCAAGGGCCTCCTATCCTTTGCTGCCAGGAGTTTCTCCTCCACAGAAAAGATCTCAAGGCAGTCTTCATCCCAGACTCTTGGCTTGTGTGCAAGAGAATTAATTCTTCCCTTATCTAGACTCTGCTCCTTGCAGATAGGCAGCACTGCCCCATTCCCTCCCTTTTGTTTGTTTGAGCCACTAGAGCCAGGCTGGCTTAGAATTTGGTCTGTATTCTAGGCTAGTCTCGAGCTCACAGCAACGCTGCTTCACCCTCCTGACTGCTGGGATTGCAAAGCATGAGGGAGGCCCTGTGCCTGGCTCCTGTCTTTCTCATTGTTACCCTGTGTCCACTCAGTGCTCTTCAGGGTTATCCTACAAGCATTAGCCCTGAGCAGACCCCAGGCGTCTGCCCCAAGTGCACCTCCTTTCCTTTTTTGCAGACCTGTAAGTTGACAAGCCCATTCGAAGATGTGTTCAAGCAATGCCTGAGAACAGTTATCGAAGGAACGAGAAGGTTAGCACTCCAGATGCTGGACAGAACCTCAAGCTTTCTAGGTTCTTCCAGGACAGAACAGTAGGAAACTGAAACTGCTTAAAAGTCGTGTTTGTTCCTATGCTTTCCGTCCTTTTGATCTCAGAGATCAGATAGAACCCTTGAACTTCGAGTGCTCGGACAGTGGGTAAAAAGGCATCTTTGTAAGTCAGATAAACAAACTTGAAAGGACGATCTTCACATGCTCCCTTCCTTCACTCTCCTCACTTCCGGTTCTCACTTCCCCTTGTCTAAGCAGTTACTCCATGGGAATATTCTCAGGGTGGGGAGGCATTCGATTGACAGTGAAATCCTGAGAGGCCCCAAACTTCCTTGCGAGAAGGGAATGTTTTGGGGTAAGCCCAAGTTCCTCTCCTGAGTCAGTGCTCCCCGTGGTGGTGGATGGCTGCCAAGGGCTAGGGTGGAGGGTGGGAGAGACTTGAGTGAGGGTGCATTTGAGTCCTCAGCATAGCTTGGAAGACAGGATGGAGAGGCCCAGCACTGACATCAGCGCTGGGTTCTAGTGTGGGCCTCACAGCTCCAGGAAGAGTCTAAAGCTACTGGCCCTCAGTTCCTGTCCTTTTCGTTGGGCCAAGTCAGAAAGAAAATGGAGTGGTGGGCATCTCCTGGGATTTGCTTTCTGTTGCTGAACTCATAGTAAACCAACATCCCTGAGGCCGAGCTTTAAAACAAACCTGTAACAAAGGTGGTTTTTAAAGGTCTTCCTTCCGCCTTCTGTCCTGAGAACAGAGCCCAGGTTGATTAGTTGTAATACAACTGTGTGCTGGCATCAGGCCTGGAACCAGGAGACTTGAGCCCTTGGCTTCTTCCATCCTCCTCTCTTCTCAAGTGGAGGTCCTTAGAAGATAAACCTCTGGTTCACGTGCATGCGCGCACACACACACACACACACACACACACACACATGCAGTAGAGGCTCTGGAGCAGCACCCAGCACTGGCTGGTGCATCCAACATGAGGTTGGAGTCTGATTTTTAGTTCCTCATCCCATGTGCTATTGATAGCAGTGACATAAACAAAGAATAGACCGAGCATTGTTGCCCCGGGGCCAGTGCCCAGCGCCACCAGGCACTTTCATCTGTGGCTAGAGTGAGCTCAGGGCAGGAGAGCAGCCCCACCCTGCCAGAGCAGTATAGAAATGGCGCTGGGTCAGAAATGCAGAACCCCAAGCTCTCAGAACCTGGCCGATGTGTGTGAGCTCCCTTGTAGCAGCAGAGAGCCCTGGTGCACCTCACTGCTCAAGTGACAACACTGAGACCCTCCCACCATGATGTATGAAGTGAAGTTGTGCAACTATGCACATAGTTGGAATTTTCTTCCTGCCCCTCCCCCTATAGCCAGCTCCAAGCCATGAGCGGAGGCTGTTTCCTCCTTAACCATTGCTCTCCTGAAGCAGCGCGGTCCCATGAGGTCAAACAGCTGCCACCCCGCGCCCCCAGTCCATTGCGCCTTCAGAGTTCCATTCCTGGAGACTTGGAGCATACGTCACCCCTTCCCGCTCCCTCCCTGTCCTGTTCACCAGATTCTAGCACCCACATGGTGGACTTGGGCAATGGCACTGAATTTGGTGACAGAGATTGTGAGTGTCATGAGAGGTACCTTTGGTCTCGAGATTCTGATAATCTGTTACAGCACATAAGTGTCTGATATAAGTCAAAAGTTCCTGTGCAGGGGTGGAGGGATGGCTCAGCGGTGGGAGGTTGGTTCTCAGCACCCACATCAAGCTGCTTAAAACTACCTGTAACTCCGGCTCCAAGCATCTGTACCTGTCTCACTGTTTAATCCCAAGGAGGAAGGGGAGAGCTATTGGCTGGTTCTGGGCATGTCCTCGGAACAGTCACTCCTGTTTGGTTTACAGTGGCCCTCTCTGCCAAGGACGACAAGGGAACTAAGCGGCAGGTTTCCCTTTCTCTTTTGTGTTGCTGGGAGCCACAGCTTTTTTCTCCACTTCATGTTGTAACCCTAGAGACTTTCCTGTCCCCATCAAAGGAGCAGCTGCCGCTCACTGTGCAGTATTTCTGTAGTCTGCTAAGTAGAATCGGCATCACTTCCGGACATGAGGGGGGGTGAGTGGCCCTCTGACAGTCTCTGTCTTCAGTGTCCAGTAGACCTGGCTTAGCCCTTTGTTGACAGAACGGTTTGGGTTGATCTTCCAAGTGTGACGGCAGCCTCGGGATCTGACCAGTTTGCCTTACCTTTCCCTGGCTTTACCTGTATTGCCCCAGCCATGTGTCGGGAGAACTTTATTGCCTGCAAGCTACCCATGCCCTGGAGAGTGAGGTCAGACTTAAGCTCCAGTTCCAGTCGTGAGGCTCCCCCCTTAAATAGGGTCTCACTCCAGAGCTCAGGCTAGCCTCGAACTCCTTTTTTTGTTTGTTTGTTTTTTTTTGAGACAGGGCTTCTCTGTGTAGCCCTGGCTGTACTGGAACTCACTCTGTAGACCAGGCTGGCCTCTAACTCAGAAATCCACCTGTAGCCTCAAACTCCTAACACCCTCCTACTTCCTAGGGCCCAGGATTACCGGTGTGTGCCTTCCATGCCCAGCTGTAGGTCTTGGTCTTTTTCTTTTCCACCAGACAACAGTTCCCCTCTGTAATGGCTGCCACAAACTCAAGAGACAGAGTATACTAAGCTATATGCACCAGATGCAGATAGACATGTGTATGTACCAGGAGGTTGCCTTTCCCTCACAGGGTCCGGGGAGATAGTGTCTGCTCAGAGTGGAATGCCATCAAACCTCCCTGGAGGACTGCCAGGTGAAGGATGTGCTCACACCTTGAGCCTCTGGCCCAGGTCTGCCGACTCAGTTCTGGTCCCTCTTGTGTTTATGTTCTGACCAAGCAGCTCCGGCTCCCACCTTGTCTTCGTCCCATCTCTGAGGGATGTGCATCACGAGCCTGTATACCCACAGCCACCTTTCACCTTCTCCGAACTGCCTCGAGAGGACAAAAAGGTACTAGTGCCCGCCTCTGGCCAGCCAGCAGTGGGTGGGGTGAAGACAGCCCAGGGAGTGAGGGCAGAGAAGCCCTCTCAGGAGCGAGCACAGAGGTGTCATAAGTTGCTACCCTTGGGTTGGTCCTTGGTGGTCTGCAAGCCCCAGCTTTGGTGGGGAGGGATCCTCTAGCTGTTGGATGCGAGTGTTCGTGTTGGCTCCTTTCAGCGAGTGCAGTTTGTGTCGGACCCCTGCACCCTCTCCATAAATGGAGTGATGTTTGGTTTGACCTCCACGGACCTGCTGTTCCACATTGGGGCTGAGGAGATCTGTAGGTAAGAAGACCACTGGCTCCCTGCATCCTGACCCTCTTATCACCAAGACACCTCCCCTCACCCACATCCCCATGCTACTTGACAGTCTTGAAAAGGAGTGGTGAGAACACACTTAAACCAGAAATGCATCCTTTCTGTGTGTGCTGAAGGTGGCAGACAGACAGACATACATATTTGTTGCTGTCACTAGTTTACCATGTCTGAGGCTCCAAAGAACGAAGTCTGTTTTATCTGATGGAAACACCCAGGCACTGAGATTCATATTTTTGGCTCTGGTTATTTTCTTTACCTTCCTAATTTGTGACCTGAGCATTCAAGTGTTCCTCTGTAGGTTTCCCTTGGAGTTATCAGAATAGTGGATAGGAATACCAGAATAGGCTAGGCAGTTGGTTTTTCTACCTTCCTTGCCAGGGAGAAGGACGAGCCAGGAGGAGGTCAGCGGTCGGGTGTGCGCTTTGGCTGGAGTGTGAGACGCAGGGTTGCCTGGCTGTGTGTGGTGGCTTCGTGGTGCTAGAATGTGTGACTTGTCTTATGTGAGACAGTTCGGGTCCCAGCGCTGAAGCCGCCCATATCCTGATTCCTAGGATTCTTCTTTCCCTCTAAGCCCCGTGCCCTACTGCCCTGTCCTGGGAAAGAGCCAGCTGTGGGACTCCAAGCTTCCCCTGGAGTTGTGTCCTTGCTGCTTAGCTTCTCTCTAGTTGTCTTGAGTCTAAGCGTCCTCCCTGAAGAGGACTGACTAAGAAACCTGGTTCTGCCCCCAACCACCACCCCACCCTCATTGCTTTCTGCCTTTCCCAGCTCTTCCGGAACTTCAGACAGATTCAGCCGAATCCTCAAGCACATCCTGACGCAGAGAAGGTGAGTGTCCTGCCAACCTGAAGAGTAATCGGTTCAGAACTGGGGCGTATTTGACTGTCAGGACCTGCACAAGGCCAACAGGAAATTTCATTCTATGTGACAAAACTGAGTTCTGTCCCCTCAAATGGAAGAGAAAGCCAGGCCACACTTACGGGCAGTGTGGAAACTGGGAGTGGGAACCTCCCCTGGGGTTCCTGAATCGGCTCTCCCATCTCTGCAGCTACTACCCACTTTACCCGCCCCACGAGGACATGGCCATAGACTATGAGAACTTCTATAACTACGCCCAGCTACCAGTCACCCCTGATGTCTTCATAGTGCCGTCAGAGCTGAGGTACTTTGTGAAGGTGGGTTTGAACTGGCTTGTTCCAGAGATATCAGAACCTGACTTTTCCTTCCAGGTTACCTGGCACTGCTTTAACTGGGTCTACTGACAGGGCCGGCACGAGAGCTGATTGCTGAGGTCAGGGGGGAAGGGAGCATGAGAAAGTAGCACAGGCCTGCCTGAGAAGAGCCTAGATGTCAAAGAGTGAGGGCTATGGACCATATCAAGGTGACCTGGGACCGTGACACCTGCCTGCCTTCCCGTGAATTCTTACCTGACCTCCCCAGGGGCTCTTAATCTACAGGTCAGCTGCCTCAGTGGTGACTCCCTCACAGGGAGTCCAACACACCAGTTTTTGTCAAGCTGGGTCCAGTCCATTCTTAAACAGTGGTTTGTCTGCTTTCCAAGGGAAGGAACATTTTGAAGCAGGGTCTTTACAGCCCAGAATGTTTTGGAACCCTTGACTTGTCCTTCCTCAGCCTCGTGAGTGCTGAGATTACAGTGTGTGACACCCATCTCAACTCCTAGATCTCCCCTTCATGTGAGAAAACAGAGTGTTGGGATCAGCTTTGTCCCCAAGCATGGGAGCTGGGAGCTCCTCCCAAGAGGCCACTGCATTCTTTACTCTGCCCCAAAGACCCTCCACTTACAAGTGAACATATTTGCCTGCATGGTTACCCTTGTTTCTGTTTCCTAAAACTCAGTGTAAGATTCTGATGATGTTACACCCAGTTGAGGGCCTCTAAACCCAGTATCCTTTCTTTCCCAGGACATCTTTGGCTGTGTCTGTATGAATCCTGGGCGGCTCACCAAAGGACAAGTGGGTGGCACCTTTGGCCGCCTCTACCTCAGGAGGCAGCCCAAAGACATGGATGGTGAGGGCAGGCCAGGCCTGAGTGTGGCTGCACAGGTGGTCAGAATCTGAGTCTTCAGCCTGAGTTGTCTGGCCTCATAGACACCAAGAGCCCAAGTATGACCCTCTGATGACCAAACTGTCAGGGTACCTGATAGGGATCTGGCCATGGGGACAGGACTGCAGGGCTGCACCATCCAGTCATGGTCCCTGCTGCCCCTCAGCCCCACGCAGCATAGCCTTGGTCTGAATCATGCCTCTCGCCTCTCCTTGCTTCACAAGGTAGATGTACAGAAGTGAACCATCTATAGAGACAGCCCTTCCAGAAAGGCTTTCTTTTTCCAGGAAAACTTTGTGATTTTCTGTATAAATCAAGCACAGCGTGTGGAGAAATAAAAATTTTTTAGCATAACTGATTTTAATCTTTTTTTTTTTTCCTGAGTAGTGTCCTAGGAATGTTGTCTACTTGACCTATGTCCAGAGAAGGCAGAGCTTTGGTCCAGCCCTTTGGAACTCTCCCAGCCTTAGCCTGCATCCTCTCAAAGTCCCCAGGCTACAGTTGCTGAGGAGAAAACTGGGTTGCAGAGCGAGCAGCTGGCAGCCTGCCTGGCTCTCCCTGTGCCGTGTCTCATATACCAGGTCTCACGTTGCATGCTGTAGTCTCAGCCCCACCTCTCTATCTGGAGGAGGCAGCCTTGATGAGCCCTTCCATGGCTGTAGTCTCTGGTCAATCTCTGCTGGATCCAGTGGTAGCTTAGACTTGCCTGTAGCCCAGAACTCTCAGGTAAGGTCAGGGTTCCCGGGACACCCTGTGTCCATATGTTCTGGCATCTGGGGAAAGACTACAGAATTAAGTTTGGGACAGGTTTCTGCCCCATATAAGCAGTCTGCCCTGCCTCGTATGCCAAAGACAAGGAGGGAAAACCCCAGCTGCTAGGCCTTAGGAAGTGTGAGGAGCAGCAGCCTGGATGACTAGACTTGGGACCTTACAGAGCCAGCCTGTGCTCCTCACCTCTGAGGGGAGGAGGCATCAGGGAACAGGCTGCCCACCGTGCTTCCTTTCACTTTTTGTGAAAGTGTTTGGGAGGGAGGCTGGGCATGGTGGCTGTGCTGACACACAAACTAGTGTTATCTGAAAGGAAGGAACCTCAATTGAGAAGATGCCTCCATAAAATATGGCTGGAGGCAAGTCTGTAGGGCATTCTATTAATTAGTGATTGATGGGGGATGACCCAGCCCATTATGGGTGGAGCCATCCCTGGGCTGGTGGTCCAGGGTTCTATAAGAAAGCAGGCTGAGGAAGCCACAGGCAGCAAGCCAGCAAGCAGCATCCTCCATGGCCTCTGCATCAGCTTCTGCCTCCAGGTTCCCACCTGAGTTCCTGTTCCTTCCTCCAGTGATGAACATTGATATGGAAGTATAAGCCAAGTAAACCCTTTCCTCCCCAATGTGCTTTTTGGTCATGGTGTTTCATCAGCAATGGAAACCCTATGACAGTGGTATATCTCTTTAGTCCCAGTATAAGGGAGACAGAGGCAAGCAGATCTCTCAGAGTTTGGAGTGACCCTGGTTAGCATAGTGAGTTCTAAAATAGCTAGGGCTATGTAGAAAGATCCTATTTCAAAAAAAAAAAAAAAAGTACCTTTAAAGAAAGACTTAGAGCCGGGCAGTGGTGGCACGCTCCTTTAATCCCAGCACTTGGGAGGCAGAGGCAGGCGGATTTCTGAGTTCGAGGCCGGCCTGGTCTACAGAGTGAGTTCCAGGACAGCCAAGGCTGCACAGAGAAACCCTGTCTCGAAAAACCAAAAAAAAAAAAAAAAAGAAAGAAAGAAGAAAGAAAAAAGAAAGACTTAGAAACCTTGACTTGAGGAGCCAATATCCCTTGTTCTGTGGCTTCTAAACACAGGAAACATTTAATGGTCCACATTGCAGGGTGACTTGCCAACCTCAGAAGTGGCATGCATGGCACATGAGTTTTGTGTTTTAACCAAGCCAAAGTGAGCTTTCAGCCCGCCCCCTCCCATGCCTTAGAGACGGCCTGGGAAGATTAACCCACCAGGCGGAGATAAAAAAGCTCTGCCTCCATCCTGCTGCCCCCTCCCCACCCTCAGCCCTTATCACAGGAGGTCATGAGGCTCTTCTGGGGACGTTTAGTGGTTGTCACGTTGCTTCTGAACATTTGTGGGGAATAGTGATGTCCTGCGGCTGCCCCACAATGGACAGAGCCCAGACTCAGGAAGATTTGGAGGCTTAGGAAGAGATGGAGATGTGGCAGTGGGAGGGGCTGGAAAGCAAGGACTGTCACTAGGCATGAATGGAAGCCCAGGACTGTTGCCTGGATACAAGTCAAATGGGGCTAGAGATGATCTGGGAGAGCCTGACAGGCATTTAAGACCTGAACGGAAAGGGCGTGGCACCAGAAGGTTCCCTTTGCTCTTGTCAGGCCAAGTGACCCCAAGTGACCTCCCCTTCCCGGTCCTCACTTGATCTCCCTCAACAGTCTCCTGCAGCATCCGCTGCCTGCAGAGCTTGCCTGTGCGCCCACCCTTCGGCATAGGATTCTGAAACTGGATGAAGTACTGGTGAAAGAGGACACAAGTTGACAGGGCCCTATCTGCCTTTCAACTTCCTTTGTGGCGTCTTCCCCAGATCTCCAGTGTGCCCTTGACACAAGAACTCAGGGCAAATTGATGACTCTGCCTCCCACCCACGGCACTGTCTTCACTCACAGAGGGGAACTGCCACCCTCTTCCCTTTGAGGCGTGGCTGCCCTTTAGGAGTCAAGCCCCTTCTCTGGGAGGGCAGAGCTGCAGAGGGAACAAAAGCCCCTCATAGTTCCCATTCGTGGGAACTCAGCTGAGTGCCAGGAGCAAAGCTAGGGAATTGGAGCCAGGAGGGGCACCCAGGGGCAGGAGGGCTGGGCCGATGCCAGGACACTGATCCTTAGATCCATCTGTCCTGCTTTCTGGAGTCACCCCGGATGTGGTTTCCTTCCCTTGACCCCAGGTTCCTTGGCCCTGCTCACTCTGCTGGCCCTGGGCCTGGCTGAACCACCTGAGGGTTCTGTACATGTGCATCAGCTCCTCCCTGCAGCCCAGAACCTCTAAACCTGCCAGAGAGGTCTTGACTAGGAATGGTGGAAGGTTTGGTTGGTCTCTCTCTCTCTCTCTTTTTTTTTTTTTTTTTTTGTTTTTTTGTTTTTGTTTTTGTTCTTTTTGGTTTTTCGAGACAGGATTTCTCTGTGTAATAGCCCTGGCTGTCCTGGAACTCACTCTGTAGACCAGGCTGGCCTCGAACTCAGAAATCCACCTGCCTCTGCCTCCCAAGTGCTGGGATTAAAGGCCTGTGCCACCACCACCCGGCGGTTTCTCTCTCTTTTTTGTTTTGTTTTGTTTTGTTTTTCAAGGTTTCTCTGTGTAGCCCTGGCTGTCCTGAACTCAGAGATCCACCTATAGACTTTTGAAGTTTTAAAAGAGTGTTGATGTGTGTGTGCCTGAGTATGTACGTGCATCGTGTGCAGGCATACAGGAACCTGCAGAAGTCAGAATGATCAGATCTCCTGGAGTTACAGATGATTGTAAACTGCCGTGTGGGTGCTAGAGACCAAACCCAGGTCCTCTACCACAGCAACATGTGTTCTTAACCACCATCACCCCCCAAGCCGTCTCTCTAGCCCCCTGGTGTTTTATTTCTTCTCTGGCTGGTTGGTTGGTTGGTTTTGGTTTTCTTGAGACAAAGCCTTGCTCTGTATCTCAAGCTGGGATAGCACATGATACATGCACACACTGAGTGCATACACATAAGCATTCTTTTAAAACCCCAAAAATCGTGGCTGGAGAGATGGCTCAGTGGTTAAGAGGATTGCCTTCTCTTCCAGAATTCCTGGGTTCAATTCCCAGCACCCACATAGCAGTTTTGTCTTTTTTTTTTTTTTTTTTTTTGGTTTTTCGAGGCAAGGTTTCTCTGTGTAGCCCTGGCTGTCCTGGAACTCACTTTGTAGACCAGGCTGGCCTCAAACTCAGAAATCTGCCTGCCTCTGCCTCCCAAGTGCTGGGATTAAAGGTGTGCGCCACCACCGCCCGGCTAACATAGCAGTTTACAACTGTCTATACTCCAGTTCCAACACCGTCATACAGACAGACACACATGCAGCCAGAACACCAATGCACATGAAATTAAAAATAAAATTATTAAAAAAACAAAAGTGAGAAAAAAGAAAAAAAAGTGAAGTTTGTTATATATCCCAAATAACAATATTTTATTTTAGTTTTAAAACTAAACCACTGGTCTAGGTATGGTGGTATGGTGGTGCATGTCTTCCAGCCAAGCACTCAGAGGCAGGTGGTCTACAAAGTGAGTCCAGGAAGGGCTGTTATATGGAGGAACCCTGTCTTGAAAAACAAACAAAAAACTAAACCACTGGACTAACCAGGCACAGTGGCATGGTAACTTATATCTGTAATCCTAGGTAGAGGGAGCTCAAGGGTCTGGGGCCCCAGGCAATGGTGGCTCATGCCCTTTACCCCAGCACCAGAGGCAGAGGCAGGTGGATCTCTGACTCTGAGGCCAACCTGGTCTACAGAGTGAGTTCTAGCTCAGCCAGGACTACACAGAGAAACCCTGTATCAAAAAAAATAAATAAATAAAATAAAAACAAAACAAAAACAAAAGAGGTGTGGCTAGCCTCAGCTACACATCAAGTTCAAAATCAGAATGGACCTTCTGAGGACCTCTGAGTTTTGTTAAACATATAAAACTGTAAGGGGTTTAAGATCCCAGAACAGTGGAAGCCTGGGGGCTGGAATCTGAATCAGGAATGTGTCTCGTCCCATCTGTCAGACACCGATGCACTCGGCCAACCCACTAGGATGACTTGAGTCCTGGGATCCAGCCCAGCCCTGTGCTTGAGAGGAGAGGAAGGGAGGAGCGTTGGCTAGGAGCTGATCTAGTGGGACCTGGGCCTGAAAAGGGTGACAGTTACTAATCTAATCCAGCTTCGGGAAGCTGCCAGAGATTGGGGATCATACTATAAATCCAGCCATAAAGAAAGCATTGAACAATGTTTGCACCTAAGAGTCACAGGGCAAGGGTCAGCAATGGGTGGGCATGGTGGGGATCTGGAGCAAGGTTCTGACTGGGAAACCTCCAAAGATGTCCAAGAGGACAGACATCCAAGATGGGCTCCATCAGCTGTGTTCAGGCAACTGGCCATCTCACATACCCTCAACTGTTCTGTTCCCTGTGGGAGTGCCCTGGAAATGCCTAGGGTCCTAGAGTAGACCGCCCTCAGACCAGACTGAGCCAAAGCCAGCTCCACATTCCCAGCCCCACCCTCCTCCAGCCCCAGGCTCCTCCCAGCCCAGAGCCTGCCTGACAGCTGAAGGCCTGCAGCTGCCCTGGCCCAGAGGCCCCTCAG